TGATGAGCGCATTCTGTACAGTCCTGAGGGTTTGGCCAAAGCAGCAAGGTTACGGGCAGAAGCAGAAAACCACAACCAAGTAGCTGGGTGCCAATGATTGGTTTGCTGTGAGCTAGTGTGTATATTTGTCTTTGAATAAAAGTGGCCGCTCTCATTAGGCACTCGAGAGGCATTCGACTATTCCTGGAACTTGAAAGTTGCAAAGTGTTATTTACTTTCTTTATTGACAATATTTTATTAGGGGTAGGGTTCTTTATTATTCTTATATTAATAGCCCACCACTTTTCCTTTCAAGGAACTCAAGGAAGCTTTCATAATCCTCCTCCTCCTCCTCTCAATCTTATCCATGCAACCATGAATAATCCTGTGAGGTAGGTTGGGCTGAGAGTCTGTGACTGGCCCAAAGTCACCCAGTGAACTCCATGGCCACGTGGGGACTAGGGCCCAGCTCTCCTGAGTCACAGCCCTGTACCCTCAGCAATTACACCACAGGATGTATCCTGTCAGTATTTCATTTTATAGACCCAAAATATGAATGGCGATAATACACAATTTCACTCTAGGGCTTCATTCACCCTGATCAAGTTCATGATCGGTCCATATTTATCTTTCTGTCCCTTTGGATCATTCAGATAATGGCTTGCTGTATTCCTGATTCTTCTATGGGATATATAACGGCGATTGTAAAGTGTGTCCAGAGGAAAGACAAACACCGTGTGTAGAAATGTCCCCCACAGGAAGCCTATGGACAGCTGTGTAGATCACTTATCCTGTGCTAGCCCTTTCTGTAGCCCTTGTAGATCAGAAGGGCTACCTAGGATATCCCCTCCGAGCTGAGAAGACAAGGAAGTGTGTGACGCCAGATCCCAGAAGGGGAGTTCATGGGACAGGGATTAACTCTGTGTGTTCAGTTCCAACATGCCACTAAATGGGGTGGGTAGCAGGAAGGGCACCTGACTGGCACATTACTTTGCAGGACTGCCCTGCATTAATGCCACAGCTGATCTGGAAAGCTCATCATGCTAAAGACTGAGTGGCTTTGTGTGACATGCAACAGGTTCCAAGCCATGACCATTTTTCTGACTGTTCCCATTTCCTAGCACAGATAGCTTCTCCCCAGTACTTGGCATTTGTTTAAAATGATGCCTTCTTGCCCCCTGCTTTCAAGTGCGAACAAAACTAGCATAAATCCAGTTTTACTTGTGTGTGAATCAGACTATTAACTTCTCATCGAGCTTGTTGCCCCTCCACCTTTAAACTTTCAAAATTTAAATATACCAATAGTCTTAAATGTGACTCACTAAAGAAACAGATGGTGCTAATTAGCATTTGCATCCACTGACAGCTGAATTGAAATCTCACATTCCTGGTGTACTGTCAGTCTTATAAGTTGTATGGATTAGACTGCTTGACATTGTGGAAGACATTTCTTAGTCTACCAGCTGGCACTGAAGTACTAATAATTCATAATTTAAAAGTCCCTTTTCATGCCCTCAGTAGCTTGTTGTCCAAAACAGAAACAGTATAGCATAGTTTTTCTTAGCCATGGTAATCAGATTTTACTAGTCATCTTTTCTCCCCTCCTCTGTCCTCCAGACCCTGGCCTGCCCATTCTATACATCAAGCTGCTATAGCGGAACATCAAAAAAAATAACACCCCTACATCTCTGTGACATGATTCAAATGCACATTTCATGGAATCTGTCTGTTGATTTCATTTTGAAAAACAAGAAATAGTATGCAAGATGATGTGATCTATCACCAAGCGCAATTTTACAACAATAGTTTTCACTGTTGTTTTCCTCATTATGTCAAATGTTCCCCAAAGTACCCATATTTATTTTCAAGCTGGGTCTTTGCTTTGCTGCCTCCACTTGTGGCACATTTCCCACTCCAAAAGCTCTTCTGATAAAAGAATGTTTGTCTTCTACTCCTACTAATTCTTTGTCCATCATAGGCATTTCAAGCAGTCCATTTCAGAGTTGCATTCAGAAGAATGTATTATCTTCCTACTATCTGCTATCTTGATGGAAAAACTGAACTCTGTATCAATGAAAAGTTATTTGTAACTTTACTATCCAATTAGTCCAATATGCTGACAAGAACTGGACTGCTTGAAAATAAAATTAAGGGCACCATCCAGCATGGCTTTCCTAACCCACCAAACTGGGAGGATTATGACATTCAGTGGAAGATGCAAGGTGGGGGTTTGCCTTGATGCTTCTACTGCCATGAAAAGACTTGAATTTGGACATCCAAGTCTTGGTGTCTGTTCACAAGGAGAGGCTGAAGTGCTGCCTGGGTGCATTATATCCCAGGAAACCTTGATTCTCCCCTTACTGCTTCCCATAATACTCCTCAGCACTGGCTCTAAGCACCAGACAGGGAGCACCAAGGTCAGAATCCCAGTTGTGATTGTAGAATGTGTTTCTGAGGTCAGAACTGGAACATCATCTTTTCTGTGGCTGTCTAGACAGTATTTGCCAGCCAAGCTATAGGACTGTGCCCTACGAGTCAGATCTTATGAACCGACGTAGTGAGACTGTCCCTTGGAAGGTAGGAAAGGGAACAGGGGAAAGGGGTTCAGTCTTTAACACCATTTCTTTTCATTCTCATGCCAATACCATCCAATAGCTGAAGGTCCCTAAGTGGCTTACAAAGATGAAAACCTTAAAAATACCTTTAAAAAGCCACTTGCATATAAACATATAAGCAGGTAGCAACACAGGGAAACACACTGATTTAAACTGTTTTAAAGCTGTTTTGAACAATCATCTGTAAGAAAATCAGGACCCGATTAAATTTTGTGTTGTATTGTTGAATCAACACTACCTTTCCTGCATCCTTGTATTTCAGCAATAAAGTTTAATGTGCTATCCTCTAGTTGTCATTGGACTGCAGATTCCATCAACCCTAGCTAATAGAGGGGGAAGATGGGAGTTACTGTCCAACAAGACCTAGAGAGCTATATTCCCCCCTCCCTGCAACACAACAATGCTTATTAAGGAAAGGAAGGAGTTGGGCAGAGCTGGATATCTCTTAATGAATCAGAGGGCCGGTCAGAATGACCTCGACAGGGTCACATACAGGAAAAATCATGTAAGTCTATTCTAGAGTCTCATCTACTGTACTTCATAAATAAACATCCCCCCCCCCCGCCCACATAAAAAACCTAGGATGGAGATAAACTCTTTAAGAAGAGGTGGAGGTGCAGAAGAATTTAATCCATGTAACATTTACAGAATAATGAATAATTACACTATAATGAAACTAATAATTAGGATTAAATAGCCCTATTAAATAGTGGAAATTCAGAGCCCTTCTCATATAATACCTGCTGTAATCCTAACAAAAACCATCCACTGTACCCGTATTAATATCCCATTACTGCAACTTGCCTCAGAGAACCTAGTGGGTGGTTCAAACACAACACCAAGTCATGAACTGGCATTTAATGACAAACTCCCAGTTCCCTTTTGGCTTCTCTTCTCTTCTTATGTGCAGTGACTTCAACCCATTTTTCCTGGCTTGAGGCAAACCATACTGGGCCATTTCATAGGAACTCACAAATGAGGGTTTGAGCTCCAATTCCAACCTGGTTTGCAGAGCCAATGCAAACAATAGTTTGCTGAGTAGGCAAAATGGCAAACCATGGTTTTCCACCCACTAGGAGGAAAGAAAAGAAGGAAGCAAGCAAGGAAGGAAGCATCATATTGCATGAGTCTCAAGGCCTTATGAATGAGTGTTAAAGGCCTTGAGACTCATGCAATATGATGCTTCCTTCCTTGCTTGCTTGAATGAATGTTACACCAAGCAATGCCTTATCTGAAACAGTTTGGGGAGTTTGTGGTTGAGGTGTCTTTGAAATGGGGACATTTCAGCTTCTTAACTGTCAGCTTTAGAGCCAGCAAGCAAAGCCTGAACTGACAAGCCTCTTTTTTATGCCATATTTCACTAATTTATCATTCTTCTAGTCCATTTTAAACTGGGGGTGTACATTTACAAGTACTTAGTCTGAATCTCCAGTTCATGTGTTGAAAATGTTAATAAAACTTACTGGTTTGCCATTTTTAGTAACCTCACTTTGTGCAATTATGGGAAGAGAAGAAGAGCGGAACTTATCCATTCCATTTCCTATAAATAATTGCTTATCTCCATCCAGCATGCAAACTTGCACAAGCTTGTTTTACAGCACATACATGTAAAATATTGAAAGGACTCCTACTTCAGACTTCAGTATCCTTGTGAATGCTGTGACTATTCAAAGCAGAGGTGCTCAAATACAGAAGCAACCCCAAAGGCTATAAGCTCCTCCACCTTTAAGCAAAGTTTGTTCACAAATGGGAAAGATTGCACCCTAACTCTGTGCTTTTTGCTCTCTGTCTCATTCCAAAACCTTACCTCAAGGAAGAGAAAGGAAATGACTGTATGCAAAAGTTTCCCTCATTGCAGGAGAGATCCCAAAGGACCTTTTGCCTATGGCAACAGAAGGATAAAGTTGACTTTTCCATCAACACCGCAAGCCCTGTGAGAGTCAGCATGACATGGCACAGGATGTGTTACTTCATGACAAGTGGAGGCCCTGCGGGGGTCCTAGTATTGTCTGCAAATGCTGTGCATGGGCCTCTGCCATCTTGCACCCTTTCTCTCTTCCTTAAGGGAAGGCTTTCCCCCCCTTTTGGCTTGGGCAGCAAGGAAAGGGTACACAAAAGAGACAGCAGTAATTAGAGATTTTCAATTGTGTATCTTTCACTTGAAAATCCCCTTCCAGCCTTTTTAAGTGATCGTCATGCACCCTCAAAATTGCCAGACCTTTTCACAGGATGTTCCCTGGGCAAAAGCAGCATTCCTAATTATCTCTTTTCCATAGCAGTGCATACAAATTCTAAATGTTAACAAATTCAAAGGATGCCCATGCTGTTGCGCTGGAATCCATGTTTTCTCAGCTTGGAAAGTCATGCCAGTTCTTTCCCATTGTGCTTCTCTTTCTTTTTTTATAGATGAATTAAACTCTTGGGATCTTTTCATTTGCCTGTCTTCCAACAAAGCTGACCAAGAAACTTGCTTAAACATAATGGAATCGCATCCAGCCATTTCATTGCAGAAGGTACATCTCCAAAGTGTCATCTTTGTCATTAGCCTATCTGTGACTAATTCCTTAAAAAAACACACACACACGTTGACCTTTCCATCTCAGTGTTTGTTTGCTTGTTACTCTATCAAATGCAGGTTCTAGTAGCTTTTTATGCATCCAATATCTACAGGAATTTGATGATATTAGATCAGATGCTTTGAATGAAAGACATCACTGGAGTAATCTTCCAAATTTTCACTGACAAGAGCTAGGGCAGCAGGACTTGAGGGTAAAAACATACAGCTGTCTGATGTATATACCTGGAACATCATCTGTATAGGAACAGGCAACATGACAATAGACATCTTGTCCTAACCTGGTGCTCTCCAGATATGTTGGACTTCAACTCCTGTCAGTCCCAGTGAGCATGGCAAACAGTTGGGAGTGATAGGAACTGTAGTCTAAATCATCTGAAGACACACAATAAGGATAGGTTGGTCTATGGAGATGCAAGGTCCCAGATTCATAAGGAAGGTCTTGGGATATGAAACCTCTTGCCCTTGAAGTCTACTTAGGTTACTTCAAGCCTAGAAAAAAAACCACACTGTTCTCTCCAATATGAGATCAGTGATAACAGAGATCCATTCACACACACAGGTCCTCTTCTCTTATGGAAACCCATTTCTCTCACTGAAACCAACAGGACTTACTATAGCTTAACCTTGGCTGAATTGCTGAAATTACTATTGTGATACCATAATGATCCGTTTCGCTGTCGCTGAATGTTTTAGTTCACTTCACCGGCAATAGGAATTGAGCTCTCACACATTGCAGGGAAATAGAGGACTCCAAAGAAATTGAGGCAGGAATATCTCATGTCTACTGTAAACATCTCTCTTAGTTAAGTGGACAGCTGTGTCCATGAACAGCAAACTAAACACTGGTATCACTTCTGGACTGAACACCACAATGTGAACTATTCATTTCAGAAACCCAGCCAATATCAACAAGGTTTTTTGCTACCTTCTAAGTAGCAAAAATTACCTACTAGCCGGTGTTTGCCTAAACATCTGATTACAGCATTTAACTAAGTGGGTAATAGTTAAAAAGAGAAAAAAGTTAAGGCTGACTAAAAACTTCCAGGCAGGTTGAGTCCATGTCTGACTCAAGCTATTCACATCCTGTGCAAGAGGAAGTTTCCCATCTAACCCTACTGCTAACCCCAACCCAGACATCACTGAGTGCACAAGTCCTCTTGCCATCTTTACTTCCACTGCTCCTTGCCTGCATCATCACGTTGGCTGGGAATGATGGGATTGGTTGTTTTACACCAAAGTTAGGGGAAGACTGATTTAGTAGCACATGAAAATGATTCTAAAGTTACAAAGAAAAACATAGATAACCTGAATATATCTTCTTTTCAGGCAAATGCCTTCCCTCAAATACAGCACTTACTTTGCAGAAAGGAAGGACTGTGCCAGCTAGTGAGAACGTTTCCAGGTAAAATTCTGATTGATGCCAATAAATTGCTCCATTTGGCTATCTTTGAATCACTTTCTTGATAAGGTAAAGATGTTGGAATATAAGTGCACGTTGCTTCATTTTGCATTGCTTTTGGAAATAACTTGGGAGTTCCTAATTTTAGCTCAGCCTCATTTATACAAAGAATTCCTCAGAAACATTTACAGTACTCTGTTAAAGGAGACTGTAAATCTTAACATTCAAAGGTTTGATTTCCTAGCCTTATACTAAGGCCTGCTTCTTCACTGATGGGCTCAAACAAGTTACTTTATGAATGTGCCTAGCAGCTTCATTGGTTTGAACTCTTATTCTAAAGTGGGGGCAGGATCATCAGTCTCGCTCAGGAAACTAGTGTGAGGGATTGAGAGGGCTTTTAAGAACAACATCTTGCAGTGACTTTAAAGTAAAAAATGAAATAGTTGATAGGAACACATTTAAAGCAATGCACATCTTGGCCTGCAAGGGTGGCAAACCATTTCATGAAGGCTGTAGCGCTTCTGGGAGCAAGTAGGAGCTCACATGATAGAATGTTCCCCTATGCAAGATACAAATCCCAGCCTTGCATCTAGAAGACTAAACTGGGGAAAGGGATTTCAGACGTAGCTTTCTCCCTGGTGTGTTAGTTTTCTAGGTGCAAGGAATTATTTTGTATGTTAATAACAACAAAGAATCTTGTGGAAACTTAAAGACTAAACATTTATGATGCTTTCATCCAGAAAAGTTTGTGCCAAATCAATGCAGTAGTGTTAAAGTGCCACAAATCTCTTTCTCAGGTTTGCTGAAATAGGCTAATATGCCAGATTTTGTATGTAAGTATTGATATGAGCCACCAGCGATAGGCTGAAGTAAGGTATAAGTTTACCACTTTGGTGAATACTATGAGGAGTTGCATATATGCCAGTCCATATTTTCTTCATTTTCATCCCTAAACTCTCAAAATATCAGAATGTTATTTTGCCTTTGAACTTTATATGTAGCCTGAGGTGGCTTAGTTGCCCTTATGTATTATGGTATGAAACTGAGAGAGCCCACTAAGGATAACTCGACACAGTTCAAGTTGGGAAGGATGAATATTCTGTGCTCCTCTAAAATTTTGCAGTTTCTTTAGGTCTAGTGAACCAGAGATGAAGAGCAGCACTTAATCTGGGGGTTGGTTTACTCAGCATTTGTCCTGAGGACCTCTTCAAAGTGCTAGGAATTCTTCCAGAAACATAGGAACTAACAATAACGACAAGCTACTTTGTTCTGAGTGGTGTATCTTGATCCTATCACCACCAATGTGTTCCTGTGGCCCCTATCTAGAAGACGATTGGCTTCTTCAGATCCCCAGCTCTGAAACTGGAAAAGAGCTCAGGGCTAGGGGATCTGAACTGGCATGCCTGTCTCCTGAGAGTGCCAGTGTGGAAAGAACCATGCTGGCTGTTTTTCTGAGGTCTTTAGAGCAACCTCGGAGAAGCGGTAAAGGGGATGTTCTGAGGGGGTCGGGAGGTATCCTGATGACACTCCAGCCTCCTTGCCTCCCCACCCAAAGTGCCTCAGTTAGCCAAAACAGAGCTAGCTGTCCTAGCTGACTTGCAGGGTTGGAAAAGCAGGGAGGTGAAGATCACTTCCCTGCTACTCCTACCCTGCATTGGATACCCATAATCCTAGGTATGCAGACAACCCCATTGGATTGTGCCTTAAGTAACCAGAAGTACCTCCCATTGAGATACAGTGTTCTTCCAGCTATTGGCTTTTGAGAACCGTTTTCTCTGTTATTGCATTGGTGCTGTCAAGCTTGCATGTCCTGAACTTTCTGCCTGTCACATACCTCCTTGAACAGGAGCACTGGAACTTTTCTGCCTGAGGGTCAAATTCAGAGAAGCTCTTGGAGACCACATTCCTGTGGTTAATAAGGCTAAGTGCAAAAGAGAGAACCAAAATAACAAGCCTACCAGTACAGTTTAATTTAAAGCTCTTAATGCCAGTTACTAAGCCTTAGAAGAGGCATTTCAGCCTTTGAGGATGGAAAACAATACTTCAAAACAGATCAGTGGCCAATTCTGGAAGGCCAGATTAGGTGCCCCAGAGGGCCATACTTGGCCCATGGGTTCTGCAGCCCTGCCTTAAAGATACATATTCTCTGTCAGAATTTTAAAAATGGAAAGCTTATCCTGTATAAACCTGAGACAGAGTTGGCAGGCTTGGATAGTTCAGTGGTGGAAAATGAATTATTCAAACAGTGAAACTATCCTATCCTAACCCCTACCATGTATATCAGAAAGAGTTATGAATCTTCTGGCTTCAAGCCACCTCATGCGGACAGAAGTACGTCAAGGAGTTGTTGTTACAATCTAGAGGTTCCAGAGCTCTCATACAAACCTGGACTCATTAAGAAAACATATTATTTTTAAAGGGGCCTTAGCACATCTCAACAATAAATCCTGAATGTTAATTCAGGACGACTGATTATGAAATATGAATAAAGCACTTTTCTATTGTTCCACTTTCTCTTGGCTCTTCATCAGGATATCCTTCACATTGTCTGCTGTACTAATTTCACTTCGTTTTGTTTATTTCCTGCCATTAATTTCCTTTCCTATGTAAGTGTCATGACTTTGGAATTAGGGAGTTCTGGCCTGTGTACTCTTCAAAACTCTTAAAATCCCCTTAGATTTCTGTTGTGCATGAGCAGTGTGAGGTTAGACCTACCCACTTTCCCCAAGCTGGTGCCTGCAGATGTGTTGAACTGAGGCTCCCAGCATACCCAGTTAGCAGAGCCAATGGCCAACGCATCTAGAGGACACCAGGGTAGGAGAGCTCAGTTCAACACCTTTCCTCCCTATGAAGTGGTAGATGCACTTAATCAGGACAATCACAAAGGGAGGATAAAAGATGGGGGAGAGAGACAGATTGGCAAAATGAAGGCTATTTTCTCCTATTAGGCACCTTAACAGATTTTGTATAAGATCCAGCCAAACCCAGCACCTTTTAAGTCCCTCGAGCTTTGTGGAATGCTTTTAAGCAGATGTTTCATTTCCACATTGCAGAGGACTTCAAAACATCCCCTTTTGACTGGATCGTGGCTTCAGCAGATTCTCTTGGATCAAAAAGTGGGAATGCTGTCAGATCATCTGTCCTTAGTGAGCCTCTTCTAAGACAAACATAAACTTGTTCCAACTTTGGCTGCAGTGCTTTCAACATTGCCTTTGTATGGCCAGCCTCCTGCTTTTCTAAAAGTGCTTTTGAAACAACAATTTTGCCACAAGCAGCCTCTCTCCCTTTTTCAATCCTTCTCCCTCCCTCTCACTCTCCACCCCCCCCCCCCCCGAGTCCCTCCCTTCTTATCCATGCTCTGGCCTGATGAGGGCATGTGGTAAGCCTGCCGTTTAGTTGGCTGCTAGCCACTGTTCACTCCCATATTCCTACCCACAGAAATCTGGCTCTGTGGTCTGCATCCTCGTTGCATCATGCAGCAGAGCCTCTAGGGCTTGGACAGCTGCCACTGACGATTTGTCTTCATCCTTGTGGGCTCTTCTTCAGTAGCTGAATTATGAACTCAAGAAGACAGCAGATGTCAACGTTGCGGAAACTGGGGCCCCTTTGGAGGAAACCTGTCCAGCCACACCTTCTTAGAGCTATTCGCAGATGCGTGATTTGCGAGGGGATCCTTGGAATAGGTTGCGCTGTCTGACATGAGTCACAGAGTTTCCTCCCCTTTCCAGTTATAGTTTCATAGCAGCAGATGGTTGACAAGCACTATCTTCTTTTTGGTATTCAGCTGCATTCCTTCAGTGGGCTGACTGTCCAGCAGCTGTCTTAACAATCCACAGGGTTCTGTCCCCTTCTTGGATTTCCCTGCACAGTGGGCTGGAACCCAAAAATCCATTCCAAGAAGCACCCTTCTCCTAAGAGGAAAATGTATGGAAACTGCCCTGTGTTGTGTAAATGTTACTGACACAGTTGTGAAGTTATGATTGCTAAAACTTGAAAAGTGTCCTCAGAAACCAATTACTGCCAAACTGTTAGAAGGATACCTCCATCAGCAACTGTGGGGGATTTCTCTCTCCCAGCTTCAGGGTCACTGCAAGGAAGAAAAGGTTTACTTTTCTGTTAAGGCCTGTTCGGCTCCTGGTTAGCCAGCTATTTATTTTATTATTTACATATTTTAAATTTCTAATATAACATCTGGCTCTTATAAAATCTCATGACAGTTTACATATAAAATTAAATGTCCCTACACACACACACACACACACACACACGTGTTATTTGAATTTTTATAAAACCTGCCCTTTGATCGTTTGTCAGAAGGTACTTAGGAAGCTCTTTTGAAAGACAGGGTATGACCTAGCAATAGTTTGTTTTGAAACTGAACAGATATTACTAATATTTTTCTTCCTCACCATGGATTAAAGAAATTCTCCTATAATGATGATAATCATCATTAAACTGAAGGTAGGGGAAGAAACTTCTCCTGCGCATGTACACACACCATGCATCTTCTGCTGCCAGGTAGCAGATGGAGAGTATACTGTAACAGGTACGCAGCTGCTTGGTCCAGCTGGCACTCAGTGCTAATAATCCACGGATCTGTTGCTGTGGAGATCTGCTGGCAGTGTAGATGAGTGGATCCTGTGTCAACAGGGCTGCATTTCTTCTCTGGATTTCAGTTTGCACTTTAAAGGAGCTCTCCAGGGTGCTGAACCCTATCCACAAAGTTATTTTGGAACCATGGGTCTTTCCTTAAAAGTATGGTGTAAAACCTGAAGTGGTTCCACAGCGAGTCTCCCTGCCAACAGACCACCTTAGCAACAGTGCAGCAGAGTATTAGCAGCTGAACAGAGGAAACCTCATTCAGCTGAGCCCTCTTTGTGCTGCCCTGCACACCCTCCTAAACATATTCCTGCATGAAAGTCAGGAACAGTCCCGGCCTACTAATGAACCACTGAAGCCAAGTCAGTACTATATTCAGCAGACCTGAATCCCTCCACTGCAAC